AAAATATATCCTTGAGTTTCTCTCTCTGGGATGTTGGTCAAGGCAAAGAATTAATGACAAAGACCTCTAAAGCACAGGAAATAAACAAAAATAGAAAAGAGACTTAATTCAACTAAAAAGCATCTGTACAACAACAAAAAAATTCAAAATGAAGAGACATCCTGTTGATTAGGAGAAAATATTTGCAAACTATTTGTTTGACAGGGGTCTAACATCTAGAGTATACAGGGAACTGAAACAACTCAACAGGATAAAAACCAAATAATTCCATTAAAAACTGGGCAAACAGCCGGGCTCGGTGGCTCAGCCTGTAATCCCACGCCTTTGGGAGGCTGAAGTGAATGGATTGCCTGAGCCCGCGGGTTCGAGACCCGCCTGGGCAACTTGGTGAGACCTCATCTCTACAATAAATCAAAAATTAGATGGGCGTGGTAGCGCACGCCTGTAGTTCCAGCTACTTGGAAGGCCAAGGCAGAAGGATTGCCGGAGCCCAGCAGGTCGAGGCTGCGGTGGCCGGGAGCGGCCACTGCACTCCAGTCTGGGCGACAGAGTGAGAATCCAACTCAAAAAAATAAAAAAACGGGCAAAGGAAGTGAATAAACATTTCTCAAAAGAAGACATATGTATAATTATAATTGACCAACAGGTATATGAAAAAATGTTCAAGATGACTAATCAGAGAACTTCAAATCGAAATCACAATGAGATGTTATCTCACCTCAGTCAGAATAGCTATTAAAAAAACAAAAAAATAACATGATGAGGATGGTGAAGTAAAGGAACTCTTATATACTGTTGACAGTATTGTAAACTAGTAAAACCACTATGGAAAATAACGTAAAAATTTTTCAAAAAGCTAAAAATAGATTCTCATTTGATCAGCAATCCCACTACTGGGAGTTTACCTGAAGGAAAATAAGCCAATATACTCACATGTTTGTTCACATTATTCACAATGGCAAAGATATGGAATCAACCTAAATGTTCATTGATGGATGAATGGAAAAGGAAATGTGGTATACACAATGGAATAGTAGTCAGTCATGAAAAAGGATGCAGTCATATCATTTGCAACAATATGGGTAGAACTGGAGGTCGTTATCTTTAGTGAAGTGAGACACAGAAAGACAAATGTCACGTGGGAACTAAATAATTTGCTCATGTGGCGATAGAGAATAGAAAGATAGATAACAGACTAGAAAGGGTGAGTGGAGGAAAGGGAGACAGATGAAGATAATGAGATAAAGGGCACAAACTAATAGTAAGATAAAAGAAATAAATTCAGTGTTTGATAGCAGAGTAAGGTGACTATACTTAACAAAAACATATTATACTCAGGTGACAAACACCCTAAATACTGTGACTTGATCAGTACATTATATTCACATGACAAAATTTCACATGTACCCCATACATTTGGACAAAACAACAACAACAACAACAAAAAAAAACCCCAAGTTTCTTGGAGCCAGTGAACTGCCAACGTGTCTGGACAGCAATGCCAACAATTTAGGTGAGCAAGGCTCCTGGGGCAGGGGGTACCTTGAAGTAAATTTGCATAGTGTAATTCTGTCTATATAAGTGGAGTAGAAGTGAGAAACTCTTTGACACTTTGAAAATTCATTCATTACAAATTTAAATGGTCACATAAGTAAGAAGGTACAAGTGACTTCCAATCCCCTGACCCAAAGGGACAGAGGTATTCATTCTGAGTGTTAGAGCTAGAAGGAAACCTAGACAGTTTAATTTCTTAAAGTAATAGAGCCCTTTTCAAATTCTTACACAAAAATTTGATACTCAAAAGAAAGTCTTGACTGAGACAGGCAGAACCCACAGGGTCCCTGCTGTTATGGTCTTTTTCCTCATGTTAGCCACCTCTTAGGCATTCCTGTGAAACCCCATGGCTTTGAGGAATCCACAACAATTGCATTTTACCCCACTTCTCACCTTTCTGAGGAGACAGACCCTGGGATGTTCAAAAACTAGTGCTTCTACTTCCAGGGTTATTGTTTGAGATGTCATCAGCCTCAGCTTGGCCTCAGAATTAAAGGAACCACTGGTGTAGATGATTTCAAGCCCAACTTGTTCCCTTTATGAAAGTACAATATTGAACTTGAGACTTAACTTCATGGATGAAAATAGACTAGAGGCCCACAATCCTGTAATCCCCAAAGCTTTGGAAACCAAAAGCTTCTTAACTCATTTGTGCTTTCGACTCTTCTGGAGCCCTGTACAGCAGCAGTTCCAGCCGAGCACCAGAGGTGGAAAGGTAGAACCTTTAAAAAACCTGAACAGAAAACTTAGTGTTCCAGTCAGATGGCTTAGCATTCGATTCAGTGTCTGATCTCTCCCATTCTGTGGGAAGCAGAGAATTCAACAGAAAGAGGGAGTACTTTCTGCCCAGTAGCAATCTCTCAAAACAAAGTGCTTAGGAAACTAGGAAACTAAGAGGCATAGCCATAAAGCTTAAGGTCTTTATTTGCCTCTCTTTAAAGGGTCCTTTATAAAGTCAGCTTGTCTTCCCACCCCCACCCTATCTTATTCTTTAAACAAGCAGAGACGTTTTAGTAGCACACTGTACTCCTAGTGCCAATTACTGTTCCGTCCTAATGGAGAGTGTAGTGTGTGTGTCATTGTAAACATAGCTTTATGACAATCAGACAGAAACTTGGGTGAAGTGGAAATATCTGGGATAAGAAAAGGTAGAAATTGAAATGAGCTCCTTTTTGTGTTAGGATATTTTCTTAGTAGAAAGTGTCCTAAGCCTATTCAATATAGACTTTTGGGATAGAGCTGCCTGAATTTTAATATAATGTATTACTGTTGTTAGCTTGTATATTGCAAAGAAATTCAGAGACCCTCTTTAAGGTGATAGAGTACTAAATATCAGCCTTAGGATATTGTATGCCCACATTTGTTTCCAGGCCAGTTTGAATGTCAATAAAATCTGTGACTTCAAACTCATTTTTAAGGAGGTCATCTTCTAGGTATGTACCCCTGAAGTGGAAAGCCACCATTTGGCATCTACTTTTACGTTCCTATCCAAGTCTTATTATGCAGTTCCTGTTTTGACTATGTTTAGATATCAATGTCAATGTTTTTATCTCATTTTGACTTAACAACCTTTGGTAACTAAAATCTTTGAAAACTTCAGAGCCCTTCAGCCTTCACTGTATCCTAACTACACTCTGACTATTCATATATAATACCTCTGTTCTCTGACTATAAGTTGTTTTGCTACTTTCATTAACAAAGTACTCAGAGTGGATTCTTATCATTTTCACAGTTCTCAAAGGTAGTCAGGTTATATAACTACAGCAAATAGCCTCTGGAACATGCACCCCCAGGACTGAGAATATATTAAAAATTCAGTGTCAATGAGGGGGAGGACAGGGGAGGCAGCCAAGTATCCCATACTTGGTTTAGCAGTATAGAAATGAACAGGTGATGATTCCTGACAATAATCTCTACTTTCCTCTTGTTCCCCCTTCTAAATCTCTAGTATATTACAACCAATAAAATATTTGTGAAAAGAATAAATATAATGAGATGTAGGACGTGTCATTAATCCCTACTGCTTTCTGCTTTGTAGTGGGTCCTAGCTTAACTAGACTCCAGGGAGCAGAATGGCAGATGTAATTTTTAAAGCAATATATTTAATACCTAAGAAGGTAACCACACCCGCATGGCAATCTTGACCTGGGCCAAATTTCAATCTCCTTGGGAATTAGCCACAAAGCACAGAATTCCCCAGACAGCAGGGAGTAGCTGATACTAGGGAGACCAACTAGGGTATCGTACACATAGCACAAGTGTTCCAGTCTGTGCTTGTCTCTGTCGTATCTGTTCTTATGCCAGTATGCCACAGCTGCAGATGCTGAAAGGTGGCAGGAAGTTGGAAGGCTTTCTGCTTGGAAACCCTCCCTGAGAAAGCTGCAGGAATTATATGATTCCATTGGGTCATTTTGAATATTCGCAGTATATTTGCTTTAAGTATGCCTTTTATCTCAATGAATTCTCACCCTCCACAAGGATAAAACGGCTAATGATAGGCAACACCTAAACATTAGCTTTCCTGTGCCAGTCAAAAAAATGAAGTGCCCTACTTACAAGTCTTAGTACATACAATTGTGTAAATTAACCATCCATGCATTAAGCATAGAAAAACTGAGCATCAGAGAAATAGAATCTATGTCTATGGCTTTATCTCACTTTCCTTTTCTGTCATCACTGGTAGAAATGATTGCCCTTTGCCTCTTATCCATACTTTCTTGTTGCTTTTATCTTATCTTGGAGCTGTTTTGTAAACATGTGTTTTTCCAGTTAGACCTCATTTCTACAATGAGGAACTATGTATTAGAACCTCTATTTCTATCCTCTTCTTGCTACCCTCTCTAAATCTCCTTTACTTTGCTCATAAAAAGAATTTTATTCATGAAGAATATGGATATGGGCAAGAAATGCCTATTAAAAGATTAGGATTTGTCTGTGTAATTATAACCACACAGGTGGCTTAAACAAAAGGGAGCAATGGTTCCAGAGGCAGATGTGATGCACCTTATGGTCTTGGGGCAATCTAGGTTCCTTCTATTTTGGTCTGACTCCATTTGCCCAGATTACTATTCCAGCCACCATGGCCAATTTTCAGGAACCAGAAAGGAATAAGGGAGGGAAGATGGATCCTCTATCTTTTTAAGAATGTTTCCTAGAAGTTGCGTATACCATTTCTGTTTACATGTCATTGGCCAAAACTTAGTTCCTTGGCTATACTGCACTGTGAGAAAGGCTGGGAAATCTAGTGTTTAGTCTTGGCATGTGCCCAGCTAGGAACTCAATCACTGCCACCAAGACCCATCTGACTCTGGCCCTTAGCATGTTACTGCTTGTTTAGTATGTGCTGTCCTTCTAAGAGGGTCCCTGACCATGGGTTTTGGGTAACTTGCATCTCTAACTTACCACCCTTCTAGCCTTGCTTTGCTAAGTGTTCCCTTCTGATTCTAGGGAGAAAAGCTAAATGTGAATCCTCCCAATTCCAGTGTACAAATGGCCGCTGTATTACTCTGTTGTGGAAATGTGATGGAGATGAAGACTGTGTTGATGGCAGTGACGAAAAGAACTGTGGTAGGTAAAGAGCTTGATGAGCTCACTTGCCACCTCACTTATATGTATGCATTTCATTAAAATGTTATTTTGGTTTCTACAAATGTACAGAGATTCTGGAAATAAAATCCACGCCTAACCATTGCTTTGAACCAGAGTCCAAAGACTTCCTGGTCTAAAGAAGTATAATTGAATGTTTGACATGCGGTTATCAACTTGAGTGTGGAATGTTGAAGATAAAGTGGAACTCCTTTTAAATGACAGGACCTAGTTTATCTTAGATCAGGCAAACATGTTGTATAGGAAGCTGGGGGAAAGGGAAGAGGACCAGAAATAGAGACAGACAGAAGATTGCTTAGAAGTGAATTTTTTTTTTTTTAATTCTCAAATGGCTCTGATCCCAGAAAAGAAAGCAAGTCATGGACGTGAGGAAATCCCACAAAGTTTCAGGGGGTTAATTAACCCCTGACATAGAAATTACAAGCCAGCACAGATCAAAGGTCAGATAAGGATTCTTTTTTAATTCTCTGCCTACAATAGTTGCTAATTCTAAAGCATTAGCTGGGCGGAAGACATCCTCTCCCAATAGAATGGGGATATAACATCATACCCATCAATCAGCATCTATCAAAAGATCATTGTGAGAAATGCCTATGTATGCAATCTATATAACCTCATGTCAAGCTGAAACAGCTGAGAGCTACATGTCAGAGTCACATTTAGGTACCTTGTATACATGCTAAAATTTGCTTTATTATCTATTCAATGTTGTAAAATTCTGAAACAATGTTGTATGTAAATATTGGTGCTAACCTTGTCATTTACTTTTTAAAATATGCCAAAAAAAAGTTCACTATGCAAAGTAGAAATACAGAAGAAAAGTAGAAGCTCAATATAGGTTTCATCAACTGCCAACTTGCATGCCTTTTCCTTCTACTTTATGCATCATTACTAAAATGTTCTAGAGTAAACATCAGGGCCGACTTTGTCCTATACTTGATCTCTCTGAGCAATATTACAGGTGTTTCCATGCCAATATGCAGATCAGTAACTCCTTTGGAAGCAAAGGAAGTTCATTCTACAGTTTAAGGAAAGAAACTCATATCCAGTCTCAGGACCAAGAATAGTTATCCAGTGTAAGCAACACTTTCCCATCATTTGCATTCTAACACTAACATTTTAACCTATTCCACAAGAAATTGAGTTCCATGTTATTTCTGGGTTACCCAGGGAATGTAGTTCTTTCATTAAATATCTCCCTAGAAGGTCCTCACTCTTTTCAGCTATTCTTCTACTAGCTACATGAGTGGGAGGGTTTGGAAGAGGGGAGGAGGTAGATGTATGTCTAATCGAGATCATTTGAGATGGAAAAAATTAAAGATATTCTGGGTCAGAATTTGTCTCTGCCTCTCAAGTGTGAAGGTAGAGAAGCAGAGTGGGCACATTACTCAGGGAAGCTCTGGGTGCTAATTTTGAGATGTTTCTTCATGGAAGAGAAAAGCTATACAATCACTTAAAACTTCCAAAGCCACCTCCTATTTTTGTAAACTATCTTGATATGGAACTTGGTTATAATTTTCATCAGGGTTTTTTATTTTAAACATGTCAACTAGTGTATTAAGTCAACTTGACCCTAGCATATTAACCATGTGCTCCTATTATTGGTCCCTTTAACTTATTCTTTTATAGTGTTAGGCTGAGCTGATTAATCAGTATCTTAGTTACCTTAAATACATATTATTACTGCTAATTCTCTTCCTCTGTGTTATATCTAAATTTCTATTCCTCTTTCAAGGCCCAGTTCAGATTTCCTTTTTTTAACCCACTTAGTTTATACTCTGAACAAAGAGAGATTGCTCTACAGCAGTCTGCTCTATTTATCTTTTGTTCAAACACTTTGTTATACAGCCCATCTTTTATATCCCCATAATATCTTCTAGTTTCTAAAATAATGCACTCTCTTTACAACTGTTCCCTGACTCCCTCTTTGCAACTTCTGAAGAATATTACAGGTTGAATTATAGCAACTAACCCTGAAGACCCTCTGACTCCTTCTATATGTAGGAAAACATGGGCCTTGGGTAGTACTTAATTTATTAACAGTGGAGTTTGAGTATTTTGGTGATTTTAGAAATAGGTGTGAATTTAAGTGCTAACATGATTTTTCTTGTTTCCTTGGCTACACAATTAGAGATGAATAATACTTTTTTGGATCATCATAGTTTGTCAACTCATCTTGAGTTCTAAAAATTAACTATAATCACCATCTCCCCCTTCCATTTACAATATTTAAGGCTAAACCAGGGTGGTCCAAAGGCAAACCCTAAACTCTGGACAGTTCTACCTAGCTTAAACCCTTAACTTGAAGCAGCCCCTTTCAGATTTTCAAATTGTGGACTTTCAGCCCATTTACCATCACAGAATATTTGTTAGAAAGGAATATTCTAAATGAAAATTTGGATAGGACGTAGGCACATAGGAAAGGAAGAATATAGTCTAAGAAGGATATGCCTAGGGTGTCCTGTGGGACTACTTTATCAAGACTCTTCCTATTTTGTGACACCATCATGATTAGGGTGACCAAGCTGTCCGGTTTGCTGAGGACCGTCCTGGTGTGCTTATGTTCCCAATATAATTAACAGTGTCGTCTTTCTACTGAGACTCTCCCAACTTGGACAACAAATTGCAAGGCAACTTTAAGTATAGAAGAAAAAGTCTGCCCTAGGAAGAATTACTAGCAGAATTGATACCTTGCCTTGGGCTATTTTAACACTAACAAGCACTTATTGATATTAGCACTGACAGCTTCAATGATTTTTAGCTGATTGATATTAACCTACACCTTGACTGGAAGGGCTAAAATCTTTCTTCAATTGTAAATATGACCTCTTTTGTTATGCTGTTTAAGTTTCTCCCTCTCCTACTGAATGATTTCCTTTGCCACACTAGACCAGTAGGGGTCACAGTATTCAATACTGGGTCTTCACATTCATTCTCTACATTAAATACATATGTTGTTAGGAGATGCCCCTAGAACAGTGTCTTAGTCAGTTAAGAATTCTGTTTTTAAAAATACCATCAACTGGATGACTTGAACAACAGAAATATATTTCTCAAAGTTCTGGGGGCTTAGGAAATCCAAGATAAAGGTGCTAGCAGCTCTGAATGGTGAGGACTCTCTTTCTGAATTGTAGATGGCCGTCTTCTTATGTGTCCTCACATAGTGGAGAATAGAAAGAAAGCAAGCTCTCTTGTTTCTTTTTATAAGAACATTCATTACCTCCCAAAGGCCCCACCTCCTAATATCATCATATTAGGGGTTAGGATTTCAACACAGGAATTTTTTGGGGGGGACAAACATTCAGTCTATACCAAACCTAGGATGGAGTGTTTGGCCATTAAACTTATGAGGTACTTGAATGATATGGAGGAAATGCATTAAAAGAATGAAAGTGTTACCTCATTTCAAAAATTATAAAGCATGCAAGAAGTTAAATGCAGGGTATCTCTGGTCAGTAAAATAATGGGCAACCTTTGTCTTATTCGGTATCTTCCAAGTCTTTCAAATGAGCTCCTTCCTCCTATTTAAAAAAAAAAAAAAAAAGAATGATTTGTCTAAAGTTCCTCTGAGTGTAGGCAGTGGAATACTAATGGACTCAGCTTTATTTTTAGAGGAAAACATACCAAAATATGGCTAGAGCCCTCATGTTAAGATAGGGCTCTTGGGTAAGTGAATTCAACCTTAACTCTTTCAAATGAACTTTTGTAGTAAAGAAGACATGTGCTGAGTCTGACTTCGTGTGCAACAATGGCCAATGTGTTCCCAACCGATGGCAGTGTGATGGGGATCCTGACTGTGAGGATGGTTCTGATGAAAGCCCAGAACAGTGCCGTGAGTGTGACTTGCTTTGGACTTGAACTTTTCCAAGCCGTTCTGTGTCTCATATTTCTAAGTATTGCTTAATCTGCTACTTGGTATTCATTTTTCTTTTTCTGCCTTAAAATTTAGGCCAACTGACTCCAAGGTCAGTCAAGTTATTAACAGTTGATCAGTCTCCTTTAAAAAATGTTCTCCCTCGTCTAACAAGACTGACATTCTCTTGGGTAGCTTCACGATTGCATACTTAAGACTGAAGTCAGCAGATCTGATTAAGAACTCCTTGACTAGGTGCATAGATTTCAAATGTTTAATAATAATGACTCTGAGCAGATGGTACACTGGTCCTGGAAGCTAAGTCAAGATGTGAGGGTTCCCCATGGGCCAAGTATAAGCTTTTAGATGCACAGCTTCTCATGTTATTTAAAAACCATTACCAAAGGGATAAGGTGGCTAGAAATTGGGTGATATAGTGACTTTTGACAAACATGTAACCTACAGTTACTAAAGCAGGGATATTTCAGCTTGTTCCTAAATAAGAAAACTTCATAGGTATGCAAATATGTACCTGTGTCCTTAGGCTGATATTCAGGAAAAAAAGTCTATGAGACCATACAGGATGATGGTTTTGGATCATATAAATTGAGATTATTTTAATGTCAGGTTTAAGAATGTCTTAGAGTTCATTTTGAGGCCTGCACTAGTAGAAGCACTAAAAAAGAAGGACTAATGTGAACAAAGTTTAGGTTCAAAATATAAATAAGTATAAAAGAATTTCAAACAAAGGAAGATAAGGGTGTTACTTTCAATTTTCTTGGTAAGAAGAAAGGGGGTTCATTATAATATTGGTCAAGGCAAAGGAGTTAAAGATCAGTGAGTAAAAGACAAGTTCTATAAAGATTCAGCCCCAAGTATTAGTGGAGGATGACCTGGTAAAGTCAAGAATTAGGGTAAACACCTACTTTGCAAGATGTAAATCTAAAGGAGGTTGTGAAGGAGGCTTGTAAAGAAATATAGGCAATGGAAGATTTCATAGGTGTTCGACCAACTGGCCTTTCATGAAGTTGGGATTAGGTGACAATATCTGTGTGTGCTCACTTGATATCCAACAGATAAACTGTGGTCTAGGAGAAGACCAGCCAATAAACTAAACTATGCCAAGTAAAACAAAAGCCAAAACTGAGTATGCCATGGGGCCTTGAAGGAGTGACGTGGTCAAGGCCCTCAAGTGTGCTGCCAAGTAGCACAGGTTGGCACGGCTTCTAAGAAATGGAGCTGGCGAAAGAGCCCTCCAGGCTTCAACTAGTAAGTCACACTTCGCCAGTATGCCAGGCCACTGAGTTGCAGGTGTTACCACTTCAGGAAGCACAGGAGCAGCAGCTTTGCAATGATCAGTTCTGAGGCTCTTTTGAGACTGTATATCATCAACAGATATGAGAACATGCCGCATAAATGAAATCAGCTGTGGTGCCCGTTCTACTCAGTGTATCCCAGTGTCCTGGAGATGTGATGGTGAAAATGATTGTGACAGTGGAGAAGATGAAGAAAACTGTGGTAAGAAGATCAGTGTTGAGTGGCGTAACCCAAAGACCCTTTTCCTCGAGGAAGGGTGGGGCAGGGGAAGCTAACCTAAGCATGAAGATGCACTTACATTGACTCACTTTTCAGTGACTTCACTATCTGCTCAATTACATGTCCTTCATAACTGCCCTGAAACTCGGAAAGACATTCACATGGTAATTGACCGTTACTTGGTGTTTCTTTTAGGCAGATAGAAATAAGAAGGTAAGTCATTCAAGGCACTTATATTTAGAAGTAGCTCAGTGCAGCAGCAATTGTGTGAGCTTTTATCTCTGTTTTAACAATAATCTGGTTCTTCCTCACTGTGTTCAATAAAATTAGGTGAGTAGGATCAGCAAACACACTCATAGTCTAAACTAGATTGGAATAAATTACCTGAGTATCATATAAGCATTTCTTTGCCCCCAAACTAGATTCAAGCATAACCTTTCCAAAAGGTAAACTGGCATTAAAGTATGAATTAACATCTTGCTCGCAGATTCCCAAAGAACAGTCTACCCGACTGGTGATATCTTTGTCTCCAATTACAGTTCCAGTCTGAAAGCTAACTCTGTTTTCTATTCTATCATGTTTCTGGTCTTGGAAAATCTGTAATAAAATGTGACATGCTGAAGGTGAGGCCCTGGGAAAATTTCTAGGTTGAACAAACATTGCTTTGAATGTTCTTTCAAGCTACCGCCCTTTTTATAAGGCCTCTAAAGTCTGACAAGCTGATATGGTAGTATACAAGGGAGTTCAGGGCACTTATAGTTGAAACACCAGTCTTGTGTGTAGAAGTCACCTCCTGAGGTCAGTACTACTGCACCTAGTCCAATGAGTTTTAGTGTTCAATCCTAGAAATGAGCTTTCTATATTGGTAAGCCCTGGAGCTGCCAAGTGTTTCCCTCATAAATGTAGACTTTGCTTCCCAAGAGAGTCGTGGTCTCCATTCTAATTACCACCAAATTGTGACCTCAGTACATTTGGCAAGAGTTTAAATCAGATACAAACTGGCTAGTATGACTAGCTTATCGTTATTAGCATACCTGGTTGCTAGATTATGAGTCTAGCTCTGACAATGACTTTAAAAATTGAAAAATGTTTAAGACTTGTTATTTCCAAACCTCATTTAAAGGACCAAAACAGAAAAAACCATGTATGGTGGTATGTGGTTCACTTCTTTTTGGTGATAATGTCTTCATGCTTGTTGTGAGTGTTTTACATTGCCTGTATACCTAGTGCATGATGTTCTCAGCTAGTGATGCAATCTGGGCTGATAAGCAGTATGTTCATTCAATAATATCTCAGTCTCTGCCTTCCAAAATGAAATCCTTTGTTACAGTTTAAGTTATTGATCACTGTCCCCTTAAGAGTCAATTGTGGTTCTCATTCCAAATTAATTTCTAGTCTATTTTATTGGTTCTTCATTTTTATTCTTAACTTACTTATAGTGTGCCTGCATTTTTTGTACAGTGAGACTGTTTCCAAATATTCTGGGAACTTGTTCTTTATTTAACTTCACTTTAGCTTTTAAGTCAAACTAGGATTAATGACCAAAGATCAGTATCTTTGATTTTGGGACAAGAATCTTAAAAGAATCAATCCTGATACACTTTCAATGGGGCATGCTCTCTCTTATTCAGGCAACATAACATGCAGCCCTGATGAATTCACCTGCTCCAGTGGCCGCTGCATCTCCAGAAACTTTGTATGCAATGGCCAGGATGACTGTAATGATGGCAGTGACGAGTTTGACTGTGCCCCACCAACCTGTGGCACCCACGAGTTCCAATGCAGCACCTCCTCCTGCATCCCTATCAGCTGGGTTTGTGATGATGATGCCGACTGCTCTGACCAGTCCGACGAGTCCCTTGAGCAGTGTGGTCGCCAGCCAGTGATACACGCCAGGTGCCCAGCCAGCGAGATCCAGTGTGGCTCTGGCGAGTGTATTCACAAGAAATGGCGATGTGACGGGGACCCTGACTGCAAGGACGGCAGCGATGAGGTCAACTGTCGTAAGTGGCTTTCTTACAGACATGGCATGTTCAGTTCTCTTTCGTGTATCCCTGGGACAGTTTGACTGGCATTCCCTTTCTTTGCAGCTTCTCGAACCTGCCGACCTGACCAATTTGAATGTGAGGATGGGAGCTGCATCCATGGCAGTAGGCAGTGTAATGGTATCCGAGACTGTGTCGATGGTTCTGATGAAGTCAACTGCAAAAATGGTAAGGGGCTCTTCTTGTGGGTGAGCCAAGGGTTGCTCTGATCAGACCCACTAGTGGAATCTCTCTTCTGTGTTTCTCTTCATAGTCAACCAATGCCTGGGCCCTGGAAAATTCAAGTGCAGAAGTGGGGAATGCATAGATATGAACAAAGTGTGTAACCAGGAGCAGGACTGCAGGGACTGGAGTGATGAGCCCCTGAAAGAATGTCGTAAGTGAAAGGGTTGCTCAAGTACAGAGCTGGGAATTGTAATAGGAACCAGTATAGCTAATGCTTTGTGGACTCTGCATTATGCCTGGTTATACTTTTTAGTAAACTCAAGTTTAATTGTAGACTTGAGAGTGACATTTTATGACTTTAAAGTCCAGGCAGTAACAAACTAGTTCATGGTTTAACCTTCTTCAAGATAACTGATTAGTAACAGAGAAATGTGATTAAATACTGCTTGACTGACTGGTAACTTGCCAAGGAACTAATTCATCCTGAAATGCATATCTATAAAACAGATGATTAGGTCTTAGCAAATCATGGGTTGGACCAGGCCAACTAGATAAGTAACCATAAATAGCCTGGATTTTAAATGCGAATGATAAATATCAACTGAGAATATGTTGTCAAGTAACTTTGCTGCATTTTTATTCCAGATGTAAATGAATGCTTGGTAAATAATGGTGGATGTTCCCATATCTGCAAAGACCAAGTTATAGGCTACGAATGCGACTGTGCAGCTGGGTTTGAACTGATAGATAGGAAAACCTGTGGAGGTGAGTCAAAGAAGAGAACCTGGATTGGGAAAGGACAGTATCTACCTAGTGAGGTATAGGAACAGCAAGACTAATTCTAATTTCCCTCCTAGATATTGACGAATGCCAAAATCCGGGAATCTGCAGTCAAATTTGTATCAACTTAAAAGGCGGTTACAAGTGTGAATGTAGTCGTGGCTATCAAATGGATCTTGCCACTGGCGTGTGCAAGGCAGTAGGTAAATGAACTTGGACTGGTGTTGCTCTGGTACCTTTATGAGTAAGTGCTTATAAAAGGTACAGCCAGTGACTACTATAGTCAAATTAAATATGAAATAGTGCTTGAGAGCAATGCTACTAAACTCATAGTTCAGTAGTATAGGTTAAATAGCAGATCTTTCTCCCAAACATCTGCCTTGGTCATTCCTTTTGTATATCATGAATACCTACCAGTTTTGCTTACTTTCTGCTTCTAACACTTAAGGGCAATTCAAATAAGTAACTTCTTCTTCAGCTACCCTGTTGTTGAATGCTGTAACCCAGGACTGCATTCCTAAACAGTTGGAAGCATTTACATGTCCCAGGTGCAGGGACTCTGGGACTGGTACTACAGAGGTATTTAGCAGTACCTTTTTAAGTGCTCCTCTGCTGGGAGGAGATGACTTAGAAAGACCTTGATTTCTTAGAGCGAAACTAAGTAAACCTGACTTCTGTCTTACAGGCAAAGAGCCAAGTCTGATCTTCACTAATCGAAGAGATATCAGGAAGATTGGCTTAGAGAGGAAAGAATATATCCAACTAGTCGAGCAGCTAAGAAACACTGTGGCCCTTGATGTTGACATTGCTGCTCAGAAACTTTTCTGGGCTGATCTAAGCCAAAAGGCCATCTTCAGGTAACTTCAAGTTCCATTCTTGGTGTCTTGGCATAAGTCATTGTCACTTGGTCTGTGGGAAAGTTTGGAGGAGTTTCTCTAGTGTCTAGCCCCACCTAGCCATCTAATTTCCTGGGAACATTAAATCTAGTGTTAGTTCTTTAGCTCTTAAATTGCTATCGGTTTCTAATGAGAAACTAACAGTTTTCTGTGAAGTAAAAAATGGTTACAGCTATAAGACTATAACAGATGGCATCTTAATTCTCATATTTTCTTCCCTTTCTCTATAGTTAATTGAGAACTGTTCATTGCTGCTACAAAGAGAAATAAATAGTGCAGACTTTTCTTTCTTTCTTTTTTTTTTTTTGAGTTTAACATACATTTTACTCTCTAATCTATATTCCATAAACCACAAATATAGTAAAGTGTGTTTTCTATGTAAGTTTCCAGTGCTAGCTCATTAAAGAGGCTGGTGGGACTATCACTTGTTCTCTCTATTGTGGTCTAGAGTGGATTCCTCATCTTTTGTGTTCTGTAGAGGACCCTCTGTGGGTCTCAGTTCCATTTTGTAATGGCATCTCCAAGTACGGCTCACAACCTATGCACTCACACAGGGCCCCGAGCATATAAGGACCCCACGTTTTGTTGAGTGTTCTGCTGTTGCTATCTTGCAATTCTTAATTTTTGAGCAAGAGATCTTACATTTTCATTTTGCACAAGGCCCTGAAAATTTTGTGGCTGATCCTAGTCACATCCTGTCACCAAGAGTCTTGTTTCCAATGTTGAAAAGTTCAAGAGGATTCATAGTATAATTTTGTGGTTAGGAGAACATATTTGAAACAAGATAGGCCAGGGTTTATGCCTTAGTTCTGCCACATCCTAACAGTGTCAGTTTTGAGATACAAGATCTCTCTAAACCTCAGTTTTCTCATCTGTGCCTACATCATTATTTGATTTTTCTTTTCTTAAAATAATTAAAATGTGGGAAAGCACTTAGCATACATCTGCTTGGCACAATGAATGAAGATATCATTAGTGAAAGATTACGTGCGTTTTACATTGATTGTGTGTATTTATTGTGCTATCTAATGAAAACTTTGCTTCCCTCCAACATGATCAGCAAAACATTTGGCACTAATTACCATAGTAACAACCTGTCTGATCATGTGGTCCTTCAGACCTCTGTTCCTCTCTATCTCTTTCATCTGTACAATGCATTATCTGGTCAGTGATACTGAGTTCCTCCTCTGTTTTGTTCCTCCCACTCAGTGTTCTGCATTCTCTTTGTGACCATGAGAGGGTTGTTTTTATTCTGCAACTTTAGACAGAAGGAGTAACTCCCTGATTTGGATCTGGGCTAAAAATGAATTCTGAATTCTCAAGTCATTCCCTACTCTCACCCACTTTAACTGCCATCCCCTGACAATTCCTATATAACACCATCAAGCATCAGTCCTACCCGCAGCAGCGCAGTGGCATTAACCATTTCATAGTCAACTGATTAACCATTTCATACTCAACTCAGACATAGAAGCTTTGTCTGAAACATGCACATGAGTGTGTGCATACATACACAAACACACAGATCAATAAAAATAGGTGTCAAAATAGAAACCAAACATGGGCAACTAGGAGTGTTTCAGAAGTGTTCTGATGTCAGTGCAGCCTTTTCTTAATGCAAACCATAGAAACTCAGATGATGGCTACTGAAACAAATAGCTTCACTTAGAATTTTGTTGTTCTTGTACATAGAACACATATCAACAACTAGATAACATACAATATCATTAATTTAACATCAGTAGGCAGCATGGTTAAATAATTTAAGTGGTGAACTACAGCATCACTAGAATTCTTTCTGAACAAACCCATTGACCATTTTGTAAGCAGAAAGTCCATTCTCCAGGCTCTAATGGTGTCAAACTCTTAAATTTCTTGTGACCTATTCTGTTTCAGTGCCTCAATTGATGACAAGGTTGGTAGACATGTTAAAATGATCGACAATGTCTATAATCCTGCAGCCATTGCTGTTGATTGGGTGTACAAGACCATCTACTGGACTGATGCGGCTTCTAAGACTATTTCAGTAGCTACCCTAGATGGAACCAAGAGGAAGTTCCTGTTTAACTCTGACTTGCGAGAGCCTGCCTCCATAGCTGTGGACCCATTGTCTGGGTTTGTATTCTATGTGTTCCATCACATAGCCTTTTGGATGCTGTATGCATAGGTCAGGAGCTTTCTTCACACCTGAATTAGTACTAAAATCCCAAGACTTATCAGTCCCCCCTACACACACACACGAAATTTTCTGGTTCAAGATGTCAATAGTGTCATGGTTGACCAGCCCTGGGATGGCCTTATCTATATGACAGGTCTAACACCTGTATGACTGACTGACCACTGGTTGACATTATTCATGAAGTGACATTTCTGACTTGATGTACACCAAAAACTGTATCTAACCCTTTTGCTCACCTGGTTTCTAGTTTTTAATTTTTGTTTGCTGAGCACTTTGCTGAGTGATCTCTGGATGATCAAATATAAATTCCAGCATGGAGATTTTGGTAACCACATTGCATCTAAAAGTACAAATTGTATAAATGTCCCATTGAAATAAGCAGAACTTTATAGAAACATTTCACTGAAGGGTTTCACTAAATTGCCACTAAGTAATATAGGAAGGCAGATTAGGAAGTTGACTAAGACAGTAGTAAACAAATTTGGCCTCCAGGAAGCCTCGTTAGAACACATCAGCCAGCCCCTACTACAAAATTTAAAGAATATTAGTCTTTTACTCCTCTGAAAAAATTGGCCTTTTAAAAAGGAAATATATAACCTTGTGACTTTGGGCTAAAATTTAACTGTCAGGCAGATGTATGTTATTATAGTTAATAATGAGCTTGTAGATTTTTAGTGTTAAATTTTATTTACCCAGAATATCATTTAGACCCTTAAGTGCTACTATTTGTCTCTAGAGAGTAAATCTCTTGAGTTTTCTGTTCAGGCTTTAGACTTTTGTTTCAAGCTACTACTTTATTTCTTCTAAACCACTGAGGATTTTTTCCTAATTTAATTTTTCCCAGCTTTGTTTACTGGTCAGATTGGGGTGAACCAGCTAAGATAGAAAAAGCAGGAATGAATGGATTTGATAGACGTCCATTGGTGACAGTGGATATCCAATGGCCTAATGGAATTACACTTGGTATGTATGTTCTTTCTTCTCGACCACCAGTTCAACTGTCTTCATAGTGTTTTATCTTCATAGTCAGTTCTGGACTATAGTAGATGACTCTAAGTTTTCTTCTATATCAGGGATTTTGGGTGAGATTTACTGAAAAACACAAGTAGAATAGTGGACTTAAAAAATTACATGCTTCATAATTACTGGACTGTTGTCCATTTAGGCCTAATATGTGACACAAATTCAGTGAATGTTGGGTCTTAGGAATGATAATACTAGATATTCTTGGTGCAGGTGTGTTAGCACTTCCTGAATTGCAGGCTTGTAACAGTTTTCTTCTGGAGAAGAACAACAAAATGCTAACCTTTTCTAATACTCTCTATAATATGAGTAACATTTCTTAGGTCAGGTGCTTTGATAACCTTAGGTACCCCTTTCATCCCCAAAATGAATGTGGATACAGGTTCTGCATGCTGCCTCACAAGATTTATAGGACCCATGTTAAGAAACCCTGGTGGAGAAGGAACTATGAAAGTAGAATATTGACTTTATTAGATGCTTTAAATGGAAGTCAGATGAGTAATGGCTTATCATACAGTCACAATTATTTTCTTACCTAGATCTTATAAAAAGTCGACTCTATTGGCTTGATTCTAAGTTGCACATGTTATCCAGTGTGGACTTGAATGGCCAAGATCGTAGGATAGTACTAAAGTCTCTGGAGTTCCTAGCTCATCCTCTTGCACTAACAATATTTGAGGTAAGATGTGTTTCTCACATTTTAAGTATATACCTTTGAGTTACTGTAGCACTTTGTTGAGAAAGAACAGGCATGGAGGGAGGAGGGAGAATAGAGGGACATGACTTGAGAAACTACTTTTGCTTAAAATCTGGTACAAATTAGACACTAATTCCTGGAAGCAAGTCTAGAAACCTGAATTTGAACTTACTTATCTTACAGTTTTATATCCAGCATTCTAGATCAACATTCAATAAACTTAGTTCATTAAATGACCAGTAAATAATGATAACCTTAGATGCTGACTTGTGTTAGTCCTAGATGTACACACTAATTGGTGGGTTCTGTTTTAGGATCGCGTCTACTGGATAGATGGGGAAAATGAAGCAGTCTATGGTGCCAACAAATTCACTGGATCAGAGCTGGCCACTCTAGTCAACAACCTTAATGATGCCCAAGACATCATTATCTATCATGAACTTGTACAGCCATCAGGTACTGTGGAGAAGCACAGTGCTTAGTGATCACTTTAAGGGAAGCAGTATGACTCAGAATCTTCTGAGTATTAGTAGCTCTTTGTTAACTCAGTTTTCTTTTCCTTTCTTTTTTTTTTTTTTTTTTTTGAGTCAGGATGTCACTTCGTCATCCAGGCTGGAGTGCAGTGGCACAATCACAGCTCACCACCACGTCAACCTCCTGGACTTAGGTTCCTTCCACCTCAGCCTCCCAAGTAGCTGGAACTACAGGCGCATTACCATCATGCCTGGATAATTTTTATTTTTCTTTTATTTTTTGTGTAGAGACAAGGTCTCACTATGTTGTCTAGGCTGGTCTCAAACTCCTGGGCTCTAGCAATTCTCTCAACTTGGCCTCCCAAAATGCTGGAATTAAAGGCGTGAACTACCGCAGCTGGTCTCAATTTTCTTTAAAACAAAAAGTTTGCCCTCCTGTTCCCTATCTCAGACATTTTACACTTGATGTTCTTTTATTTTTAGTGTCTTAGTGAAATTGCTTCTGAACTGTAGCTCTTATCTCCCCTCCCAATCCTCAGAGCTTTTATTTCTGTTTTTTCCATATCCCTTTGACCTTCAGTCCCTCTTGCTAAGACTATTGCACTGACCTGCAAAGTAGCTTTTGTGTTACACAAACTCTCTCTACTGTTGGCTTGCTAGAGTTGCTGTACAATGTACTACAAACTGCCTTAACATATGCTTATTGTCTCACAATTCTGAAAGCTAAAAGTCCAAAATCAAGGTTTTGACAGGGTTGGTTCTTTCTGAGGGCTGTGAGGGAAGGATCTGTTTTAGGCATCTCTTGTTGGCTCATAGATGGCCCTGTTCACATTATCTTCTCTCTGTGTGTGCTTGTGCCTAAGTTTTCCTCTTCTTAAAAGGACACCAGTCATATTGGATTAGGCCCACCCTCATTTTTACATAATTATCTCTTTAAATACTCCATCTCCAAACCAGGTCACATTCTCAAGCACTGGAGCTTAGGACTTTAACATATGAATTTTAGGAAGGGAAATAACCAACACATAACATCTACCTTCCGCCATGACACATCTTACATAGGACTGTGTGGTTCCTTGAACACATCTGGTTATATTGTCTCCTGCTCGAAACACTTAGATAATTCTATCTAAATAAAACTCTCAAACCTCTCTATAGCTGAGTTCCCTTCCACTTTGTGGGAGCAAGTCAAGACAAAGCCAGGAGAACCTGGTTGGTATCCTTCCTCTGAGACTTTAAGCCTTGGACCAGTAGTGAGAGCCAGTCCTGGTCTCTCACCTTCCTTTCCCACCTCTTCCCTTAGCACCCATCTGTTGAACCATAGCTATTATATTCTACCTCTAACAAGTCTCTGAACCTGTTGTCCTTCGAGAATGCTACCTGTACCTTTATATTTATTCTTCACTAATATTGCTCTCTTGAAAGGTTGACAGAGTAGACAAGTTGAAGTTTCTTGGAGACAGGACTCATGTTTCCAATTAACAAGGATTTATATATATTAGGCACTAGAATACCTGTTTTAAAGGAGTATTTCCTGTCTAGGTAAAAATTGGTGTGAAGAAGACATGGAGAATGGAGGATGTGAATACCTATGCCTGCCAGCACCGCAGATTAATGATCACTCTCCAAAATATACCTGTTCCTGTCCCAATGGATATAACCTGGAGGACAATGGTCGAGAGTGCCAAAGTAAGGCTTTTTATATTTCAACTACAAGCATGACTTACAACAGGCAATATGATAAGATACTACCTGTACAAACTGGTCTGGATTTTAAGAATTCTGTTTTAACTAATTTTGGAATAGCTAATCTGCTATTGTTGCACGCCAGGCGATCATGTCATTTCTTCAGAACTGATTTTTAGCCCCTTTCAAACTTAGATGAGTTTATAGGTGACTGAAGTGTCAACATACCTCATACTAATTTGTACCAGTTTGTCCCATAATGGCACGGGGCCAGCCAGCTTGTGGGTAATTAAACAAAGTCTTAATGTTTTCCTCCAAAGGAAATTATTTTTAAGGAAGGTCATGGTTATAGGAAACCTCATTGCCTCAGTGGATGACCCTGGCTTAAACTCACACTAAAATCAAAAGTGCATTTTAGACTTTTGTTCTTAGCTTTTGATTAAGTGGCAAATTAAACCAGTTTGTGGTGAATAAGGAACTCATCTAGTTAGGTTTTTTTGTTTGTTTGTTTTTTGAGTTGGAGTCTCACTTCGTTGCCCAGGCTGAAGGGCCATGGCACACTCACAGTCACTCCAGCGTCGACCTACTGGGCTCTAACGATCCTTCCGCCTCAGCCTTCCAAGTAGCTGGAACTACAGGCGCGCGCTACCACGCCTGGTTAATTTCTGATTTTTTATTTATTGTAGAGATGAGGTCTCACCAAGCTGCCCAGGCTGATCTAGAACCTGTGAGCTCAGGCAATTCACTCGCCTTGGCCTCCCAAAGTGCTGGGATTACAGGCTGAGCCACCGAGCCCAGCCTAGTTAGGTTTTTATTAGCTTAATTCTGCGTCGTGACAGGGACTAGGTTAGTTTACTGAGAAAGTACTTACAAGACAATGTGGTTTACCAGAACATCTTGACAAGTTTTCTTGTAACTTCCAGGAGCCTAGGATATTGCTTAATGCGGTCATTAAGTATGACTATCCATCTTTTTGAATTGTCAAATTCCAGATCCTGACTTTTCTTTCTGAAGTTTCATGTATCTTTGTTTTTGCATGAAGACTTCTGTTTCTCTCAATTTTGACACATCAACCCTGCATCTTAGTTCAGCAGTGGTTTGTCTGTTTCACCTGGTGTTAAAATAACCTTTTGCATGGCTTGTCTGAACTAAACAGTAAGCCACTCTGGAACCTTGGCATTAACCAGGTTCTTGGTTTTTATAATTCAGGTACTGCAACTACTGTGACTTACAATGAAACAAAAGATACCAACACAACAGAAATTTCACCAACTAGTGGACTAGTTCCTGGAGGTATTGGGTTCAGTGCTGCAAACTGTTAATCTCAACTAACAGCCACATTCTTTGTTATCTATTGCTTAGATAATTAATGAAGCCTTTAACTACTAGTTCTGTCCCAACTGTTAACCTAGTATTTAAACTCCAAAGGCATAGAACTTGCAAATCTTATCCTGATCTGATCTGTTAAGGTTTTCATTAGAGTACTTTTAGTGAAATGAATGTTATAGCATGTAACTCAAATATTTCTAGGCAGAGTTGTTCCCAGTGTACAACTGTAGTGGAGACTGAACATCAATATTGAGTGTAAAGGCATGAAGTTCTCCACCTGATGGGTGCATTTCTGAGTCTGAATTCACATCCTTCTAAACTGATTCCTTTTATTTCTCTGTAGGGATCAATGTGACCACAGCAGTAACAGAGGTCAGTGTTCCTCCAAAAGGGTCTTCTGCTGCCTGGGCCATTCTTCCTCTCTGTAAGTAGATTCCCTACACAGCTATATTCAGTGAACTAATTAGATACCAGATAGGCATTTTTGGTTTATCTAGAGCCACCCTTCTCACAGCCCTTTTACTGTCATGGTGCTTATAACACTGAATGACTTTTACTTCTTACGCAACATGGGATATAAATTTAAAATCCATAGCTTTCTCTGATATCCTTGGCACAGTGACCGGCAGTGATCACTGTTCAACAACTATATGCGAGGTGCTTGTTGCTTTCTACTTCGGAGTTGCTAGCCTGACCTATCCCCCTTTAAATAAAGGGGATACTGTTCTATTTCCCCTTTGAAATATGTGTAATACTTCATGCAGACAAGATGCACAAATGTTTAAATGCTGTCTAGAAGAATTGTAGGACTTACAGAGAATAAATTAAAAGCATTTAAGAGTTTTCAGACTTAGGGAAAAGACCTCTAACTTTATTATCAGATATGTGAATTCTAAGGTACTTTGTTAAAATGTCCACTTTGTCCTAAAATGCCAGATTCCAAGCTTAGCTAACATGCCAGAACCATCTGAATAATTCCCCAGAAGCTTCTGTAAGTTTCATTTGATCGGCCCACAGTGGGGCTTAGGACCCTACACTTGCTCAGATAGATGTGGCTAGCTCAGCTTCAGTACACAGAATAGCACAACTTCTGAGCTGACCTTAGTTCAAGCTCCTAGTCCATTTATATTCTAACATCTAGTTATCCCAGCTTTATAAAACATGAAATTTTGATTAATGTCAATTATCATGGATTCCTGAGCATTACTTTTTTGTATGTTCTGAAACTAAACTTATGTTACTTAGTCACCCTCTAACTTTGTTCAGTACTCTTAGTGATGGCAGCAGTAGGTGGTTACTTGATGTGGCGGAATTGGCAACATAAGAACATGAAAAGCATGAACTTTGACAATCCTGTGTATTTGAAGACCACTGAAGAGGACCTCTCAATAGACATTGGTAGACACAGTGCTTCTGTTGGACACACATACCCAGCAGTAAGTCAGTATTGTGTCTGTGTACACCATGGCTTGAAGTGAGACTTTTTGGAAAAAAGACCCAGGCTAGAAAGACCTAATAGGATCATGGAGTCACCAAATACTTCATTTGCTACCTGGGTATTAGACAGGCTTTCCTGTTAGAAAGTAAGTCATCTAGTTGTTCAGTATCTGACCCCCAGAGAATGGCACGGAAGTCAACTTATAGTTATCACTATACTATATAGTAGAAACAATATGTAAATATTAGTATGAACCACATAGCTCTCTTTTGAACTAATTAAACATATTGCCTACTGGATACTTGAAAGCAAATTAGCATATCATATCTTACTGGGTAAGATTCACTTAGCCAAAATTACTAAATGCTTTTTTAGAAAAGGATTCCATCCCACCTAGTATAACTAGCTTTTCATTTAGCTGTAGTATCATTTACTTGTTCTTCAGATGAAACCCAAACGAAGTATTTGGCCTTCACATAAGGAACGAGCCAAACAAAACAAGTGCTGAACACTCCCTTCTCAAGCTCTCGGGTGAAACATGGAATGGTGGTCAACTTGTAGCACACACATATATTTTCATGTTTTTCTCCAAGGCTTATCAGTCACACTATTTTCTCTCACTTCTAAGAAGATATAGTTGAATTCAAGTTAAATGCATGAGAGACAACTCAATACTGTTTTGTATCTGATTTTTCTTCTGAGCACTTTGGGCCTTTAAATAACCAACTCAAAAGCAAGATCTAGGTTAAAAACTAGAGTTGTCATCAGTCAGTGATCACCAAGCTCATTCCATGCCTTTTCTTTTCCGCAGATATCAGTTGTAAGCACAGATGATGATCTAGCTTGACTTCTGAAACAAGTCCTTGACCTTTGAGGTCTAAACCAATAATACGCCTGTCGGAATGGTAACCGAGCCAGCAGCTGAAGTCTTTCTTCCTCCCATCTGGAAGAACATCAAGATATCTTTACGTGGATCAAGCTTGTGTACTTGACCGTTTTTATATTACTTTTGTAAATATTCTTGTCCACATTCTACTTCAGCTTTGGATATGGTTACCAAGTATCTGTAACCCTTGAATTTCTAGACAGTATTGCCACCTCTGGCCAAATATGCACTTTCCCTAGAAAGCCATATTCCAGCAATGAAACTTGTGCTATAGTGTATACCACCTGTACATACATTGTATAGGCCATCTGTAAATATCCCAGAGAACAATCACTATTCTTAAGCACTTTGAAAATATTTCTATGTAAATTATTGTAAACTTTTTCAATGGTTGGGACAATGGCAATAGGATAAAACGGGTTACTAAGATGAAATTGCCAAAAAAATTTGTAAACTAATTTTGTACGTATGAATGAAATCTTTGACCTCAATGAAGGTTTGCAAAGACTGAGTGTTCAAAATACTGTACATTTTTTTTCCAAGTGCTAAAAAATTAAACCAAGCAGCTTAACCATGGTTTGTGCCTATTCCTCTAGGATGAACTCCTATAGACAGCCCGAGTAGTATCATGTATTCTAACAAAATGTGTGAGCTATAGCTTTTGATATAATTGGGCTAGTTTCTTTTACACCCAAATACTAACTGAAAAGTGAGGCACCATTTAACATTTGCTCCCCAAATATTTCTTATTTTGTAAAAGAAGCTAGCTTAGTCTGAACCTATAATTCCTCTTGCTTAGAGGAAAGTTCTTTTCCTCATTAACTTGTTTCCTAATCTAGAAACATGTGCTAAGATTTCTATGAATTCTACTTCTTTATACTTAAGTCTCTGTTTTCCATGTTCTGTCATTTTATATAGGTCAAGGACAAGTGCCTTCTAAGGCATGGGAAAGGGCTTTCTTAGAAAAGTCTAGATTGTCTTACCATGATGATGACTAGAGAGGATAACAAGCAGTGTCATTCTTGAACCATCTAAGGCAGGATTCTCAGTGTTATCTCAGGGACAGCAGCACCCGCATCCCCTAGGAACTTGTTAGAAATGCAAGTTCTCAAGCCCCAACCCATATCTACTGAATCAGAAATGCTGGGGGTGGGGCCAAAGAATTGGTGTTGCCACAAGCCCTAGGGTAACACTGATATAAATTAAAGTTTGAAAACTATTGTTCCAACGTGACTTCATAGAGTATATAATTGTACTATCTCCTAAATTTTTAGCCTGCTGGGATAGGACAGATTCTTGCTGTGGATAATTTCTGGAACTTCTAATATGAAGAGCAGACAAGGAGTTTGAGTAGAAGGAAAAGTAGCACAAGGAGTTTAGTGAGTTTTCAATCAGGTTGGCCATTCTTTCTTTCTCTCAAATGTCAAGACACCTGGAAGCAAAGGAATATACAAGACTTGAAGCACTGGGCTGATGCTCTATGTCCAAAGTGAGGTGGGGAGTTAACTGCAGAAGGTACATTGATTCCTCTGGGATTAAACGACTGACAACCAATGCAGTAGCAAGAGGATGAAAAGAAGATGTTTTGTGTAGCTAAATGGATCAGTGGATGACTCATATTTCACTTGCATATGGAATATAAGACAGTTAACATCTTGTGGCCTAGGCATGGAAATAAATAATCCTAGATGAAGGGGAAGTTGATTCTGTCTTGTTTAATGAATGCCTCCCTTGTGATTTTGGTCAAATGAATGAATAAGAAAAGATAGGCTTGAACTTTTTTTTCATGGGACGTGTGGAGGTCAAGTCTGTGAAGGAAAAAGTTGTAGTCATTAAGGTAGGATTGTCTGCTCTCCACCTGTATTTTACTCTGCACACAGTTATCACACTGAGCAGGATGTGGCCTGCTGACAGGGAGTTGCTGAAGTGCCTATTTAATAAGTAGGTTAGCATTCTACATGAACTCTGAAAGTCCATGTGTTTGGCTGGTGCTTTGACCTGCTATGGTACAAAAACTGCTGATGTATTTTTTTTAATTGGAGTAATACCAAGTTCCCTTTTAGAAGTTTGAAGTGTGATACCAGTGCTTTCTCCTATTATAAGGATCATACGGTATTAATCAACTATAAAACCTAAAGGCAGTTTTTACAAATAAAATAAAGCATTATTCCCTACCATTTTCTTTTATATTCCAGTCTTCAATGTGCACTTTCAGGTTCTAGGTACCAATTTCCAACTCTAAGAGTCAAAAGCATTTTTTTTTTCTTTTTTTTTTTTTACCTTGTTCTCCCCAGTCAGAAGCCAAGGTACAACTCATTGTACATAATTTAAGAGGTGCAAACACATTTGAAGAAATGAAGTAACTAGATATTTCTATTGGGATAAGAATAGTTAGATGGCTAAACTACTAGTCAACTCAGCTTGTGATAAAATAGTTCATGAGGGACTACAGCCCTTGGCTTTACCAACCAAACAAGAATTTAAAGAATCCTATATGAAATGTGGTAGCATAAGTATGTAGTATCTATAGTGTTTAATGTAGGAGAAGATAATTAAGAGATAAAATATGGCATTTATCAAACACTAAAGGAGGATATTTGGAATTAGATGAGCCTGTCACACAAAGTGACAAGGATTGATGGTAGCTGAATAAACAGGTTGTGGCCTCCAGTAAAGAAATCCAGTCAGATCTCTGAGTCCAAATTTTGAAGTGACCTCTGCAAGCTATTTGGCAAGAAATAGTCCCAGTTGTTTAACTATTTCCCATAAAACATTCTTCTAGCTATATTAAAACCTCGGTATCTTCTCTCTTTGGTTCTTGATGAACACAAGGCAACAAAAATTGAGCTTCAGTTTTGGTACTTGCTTCTGGTCCTTTTATCTTTGTGAGTCAGCCCTTCTAAAAAATGAAAAGCCAGGCTTTAAAGAGCCAAACAAGCGGGCATTTAAAGGACTAACTCTTCGGTTAACAACGCTGTAGAAATGGAAGATCTACTTAAAGTCTACCTTTCAACGATCTTCACTCAAAACCAAAATATTCTAGGTGGGCTTACTCTTACATCGTCTGACTGGAATAATTTCCTAGAATTCTTACCAGGTGAAATCTTACCTAGTGAAAGAGTTTATTATTTTGAACCCAATTAAGAGCTACTCTCCTTGCTTCTAGTGGTGGTGAAAACTTATACAAAGCTGATACATTTTTGCTAACTGAAGCCTAAGTATAAAGAATAGAGCCTGATAACCTTGATCACTACATATGAGCCCTTCCATTTCATAATTGTTTTAGCCTGATTCTTTGGGAAAATTGAGAATTGTTATATCTATGTTTCAGCCATATCATAGGCTTAAACTTTGAGAGTTTAGGAATACAAAGAAGTAGAAAAAATTTTCAATGGACTTGTTTGTGGGGATGGAACAATGACATTTTTTGAACTTATTTCTCTCAAATCCAGCATGAGGGGTCTTCAGCTCAAAATAGTTTCATGTGAAGGATGATAATCAAATGTCTTTGTATATACCTGATTCACAGCCTCCTTCAGACATGAAAAGCTGAATACAAGTTAGCAGTGAGGTCCTAGATGTGAAAGTGGGAGATCTATAAATAAACTACTAACAAACTGATAATAGTGATATTCCATATCTCTATCATGTAACCTGAATCAGCTTAGCATTTTTTATTTGTTTGTTTGCTTGTTTTTGAGTCAGGGTGCCACTCTGTTGCCCAGGCAGGAGTGCAGTAGCAAAATCACTGCTCACTGCAGCCTCGAACTCCTGGGCTTAGGCAATCCTTCTGCCTCAGCCTCCCAAGTAGCTGAGACTATAGACATGCAACACAACTAGCTTTTTTTTTTTTTTTTTTGGTGGAGACGAGGTCTTGTTATTTTGCCCAGACAGGTCTTAAACTCCTGGACTCAAGCCACCATACCTGGCCTGTTCAGCATTTTTGAGTCTGACTCATCTGAGAAACAGGAACAAAGTGGGACCATGGCTCAGAGTCTCCCTGTAAATTTCCTTCCATTCATGGACACTGAAGCAGGAGTAAGACAGGATGACAGTGGGGAGTTGATGCTCTGCAAGTTACCCTGTGACAGATGGGTGGCAAAGTGATTCTGTTTAGAAGCAGAAGGCAATGTAGTCAACAACACAGGCTTCTGTGTTAGTCTTGTGTGTGGTACCTTAGGCAACTTAGTAATTCCCTCTATAAAGAGATGACAGGGACTGCCTCACTAGGACATGGTAAGGGTTAAGTGAGATGCACATGAAAAGCTCAGCACAGTGTATGGCATTTAGTATGTGCAGGGCAAATGTCACCACTGACATGCTAGGCTTCTGTGTTTTCTGTAGCACAGTCTAGGCACTGCTAAGTGACTTTACCAGTGAGAACTGTGGGCATCTTTCCTCATTATGAGTGTAACATGCATTGGATCCTGACCCAAGTGTTCTTCCGACATCTCTGTAATGAGATCTAAGTCTGAAATTTAGGTAGTAATGGCACCTTGTATAGTTAATGAGTCTTAAAAGATAACATGGTTCATACGCTAGAAACATACCTGTCAAGTTTGCACCTCAGTCTTTTGGCTTTACGGCCTAGGACATGGAGGCAAGTATGTGGGGGCGTGCATAATCTCTGGATGGATACCAAAGACACTTTAAATCTCCCTTAAGTTCTTATCATATACTTAATTTTGTGCTAAATAAATTCTCTCAAGCCTTTCATCTGATCTTCATAACAACCCTAATAGGTAAGTATTATCTCCATTTTACATATGTAAAAACTGAAGCTACAATCTGTTATTCAAACCTATGTGTTTAACTGCCATCTCCTCTCAGATGAGGATTCAGTACTATATAAATCTTAAGCGGGATATTACATTGCATGTTTGCTGTGTCCCCTTTATCACTCATTTGAGGATGCTGTGGCAGTTTCTCAGGTGTCTCAGATGCCCAGTATGGCTGGCTTCCAATATGGTGGTGTCCTGGAAGTATACTGCTAGCACTGCTACATCAGGTCAGCACAGACTATCTCTGTTAGCTATGTGTTATGCCCTCAAGATGCTAGACATTCCAGAATTATTTGACCATCCTAGTAAAGTAGAAGTAGATTATTGGATTGCAAAGAAAAAGATAAATGTTCCCTAAAGGAACTTATAGACAGACAATAGCATTCCTGTGTATAAGTTATTGGGGGAAAACAAGCTGTGGCACAATAAATCTTAAGTTTTAAGGCTCTCACGTAGGAGAGACATGCCCAAGAAGACAGGAAGAACTGTGGCTTGTCTATTGAATGATGATGCTATAACTCCAGGATCGGATCTCAGGTATGCTGGAATTCTCACCTGAGACCTGGGCATTTCTCAATTTACACACATGCATGTGGGGAAAGAATCTTTTGAAAAAAATAACTGGTTTTCCAGATTTCTTTGCCACTATATAATGCATCCATGTAACTAAAAACTATTTGTATTCCTAAAGCTATTGAAATAAGGAAAATAATAATAATAACTGGCTTTGACAAAACGATCTTGCCCTTTTTAAATGTCACCTGATGCTAAAATGTGATTTAAGAGAATGTACCGCCTCAGGAGTCCAGTGTATACAACCAAATCATCACACTCAGGATCTTCAGAATTCTAAAGGCACACGTTGGAATGCATCCAGTCCTGCTGACCATAGATGAACATCTTTCTTTTATTAATGCTCTGTACAATTAAATAAAAGTTTATTTTTGAGATAATATTTGTGAGTCTTTTCTTTTTCTAGAGACTTTTATAAAAGTTTTTACTCAAATCTTTCTCCTTTTGTCAACTGGATCATTGAAAATGACTCAATCGCCCCTCTCTGGGAAACAACTAGGGCCACCCACGTCCAAACTCTTCAAGCTAAAAGAATGAGAGACGACGTCCCCTTTCTTGCCAAACACAGTACAGTTAGTGCCTCACCATAGGCAGCCATTATGCCATCTTCTCAAACTCCCCTTTCTACCTCTCCTACGAAAGAAACAAAAACCAAAGCTACTGTTACTTAGGAATGTTAGTCCAGAGCTTCCTCCCTTGGGTGACTGAGAATAGGCAATACCTGGCTAAAGGGATCCTCCCCATCCTGGTGGGGGACAGGGTGGCAGGACAAGACAGGCCTTGACAAGCAAGTAAAATCATTTTGATGCTGGCCCCTCATCAGCTCTTAAATGGCCTGTGTTGAAATTCATTTACAATAAGGCAAAACCTTTGTGAGCCTTAGAAATACTCCACTTCAACTTTTCCAAGCAATGACCCCAAATTGTTTGAATTATATTGGGTGCCAAATTTTGACACTGACTCCAAAGAATCTAAAAATAGCAGTACAAAGAAAATAAATATGTTGAAGGAAAGTGAAGTTGTAAAAAAAAAAAAAAAAATTAAAAGCTCAACAGTGAGCCCTTAATGAGTGAGATGTTGTATTTTGTTTGCACCTACCTTCATAGTATGATCATAAAACAGAGGCAACACATTTAAAGTGCTTCACTCACAAGACAAGGCTGCCCACTTTCACCCCTCTTGTTCAACATAGTGTTGAAAGTCCTAGATAGAGCAATCAAGCAAGAGAAGGAAATTAAGGGTTTCCAAGTAGGGAAAGAGGAAATCAAGTTATCCCTCTTTGTAGATGATATGATTCTATACTTGAAAAACCAAGAGAATCTATCAAAAACCTATTTACACT